CACGTGACACTTACTATTTATGGTTCATAGGTCTTGTGGACATATTCTAGGGTTAGCAGTTTTTCGTTTTCACGATTTACTCACTCAGGTCATGCGAACAAGACCTTCATGTTTCAGGTTTCTATTTCATATTATACTAACAAATAGCTGTCTACCCCCCTCTCATGGTCTGGCCTCCTGGACAGAGGATCGGCATGTAGCATTGTCTTTCCAGGTCAGTGACTAAGTACAAAATTAAAATGTGTGAGGGATAATGCCCAGTGTGCTTGGCGCTGGAATAACTTCTGTGCCTGGCAGAAGTATGTAAGGTTGAGATGGTCTGACCAAATCTCAATGGGTTCCGGGTGTCCTTCAAAATAGTGCCGGTGTTCTTCTAGTGTCCGAATAATTGCAAGCATCTTCTTGTCATAAATCTCATAGTTTCGCTCATGTTTGTTGAGTGATTTAGAGTAGTATGCGACTGGATGCCATAGCTTGTCTTCTCCTAGTTGTTCGAGCACTGCACCAGTTGCATAGTCTGAGGAATCAGTTTTCAGATGGTATGGTGCAGTGTCGTTTGGGAGTTGTAAGATCGGGGCTGAGGTAAATGCCATTTTGAGTGCACTGAAGGCTTGGTCTTGCTCTTCCTTCCATTGCCAGGGCACGTCCTTACAGGTGAGAAGCATTAAAGGTCATGCGAGTTTCGCAAAGTCCTTTATAAATCACCTGTAGAAATTCGCGAATCCTAAAAAGGCCTGTACTTGTTTGACCTTTGTAGGTGCAGGCCAGCCAAGTACATCTTCGACTTTAGCAGAGTCCATCTGTACTGAGTTCTTGCTAATGATCATGCCAAGATACTCAATTGAGGACTGTTCAAAGAAGCATTTCTCTGGTTTGGCATATAAGTCATTGTCCCGGAGATGCTGCAGAACTGCTTTTACTAGTCATTGGTGTTCTTTGAGATCGTCCACGAAAATGAGGATGTCGTCCAAGTAGACTACTACCTTTCCAGTATGAATTAAGTCCTCAAGGACCATATTTATCATTGTTTGGAAGGTGCTGGGAGCATTGCAGAAACCGAAGTACATTACTGTGGGTTCGAAGAGGCCGTGATGCATGATGAAGGCAGCTTTTTCCTCATCCCCTTCCCTAATCCTTATGTTGTTGAAACCCCATCTCAGATCAAGCTTTGTAAATATGCTAGCCTGTAAGAGTCTGTCAATGAGGTCCAAAATGCATGGGATTGGGAACTTGTTCTTCTTTGTTACTACGTTGAGGTTCCTGTAGTCTTGTACTAGCCTCAGTGATCTGTCTTTCTTTTTGATGAAGAAGACAGGTGCTGCTGTTGGACTCCTTGATCTCTTAATGTATCCTTTGGCCAACTCTTGGTCTATCCACGTGTCGAGCGAATTTCTTTCCTGTAGGTTCATAGGATATAGCTTTGCCGGGTGTGGTAACGATGCCTCTGGAACAAGTTCGATTGGATGATCGTAGGGCTTTCTTGTGGGCATTCATTCTGACTGCTTCTTGGAGAACACATCGCCATACTCGTGGAAGTGTTTGAGGACATAGGCTGACCAGTAGTCTTTGTCCTGTTCTCCATTTTGCAATGCTCTATCCTGATTCCTCTTGGTGTCTAGACCCATAATGAGTGATGCTACGGCTTGTGCATCAGGGTCTTCTGATAGTGACACCCATCTAATGAAGCTGTCCATGTCGTTCCAGTTGTCATCTAACTCCTGAGAATCGATGAACTCCATCAGGTCTTCAATGTGGGGGATATTTGTGTCTTCCAGGTCCTCCTCTTGGACTGCTACCTGTGAGGGTGCACATCTCTGTGGGCATCGGGTGAAATTGACCATGAGTTTTCCCTAATCTACTTCGGGGTTGTGCTCCTTGAGGAAAGTCATGCCTAGTATAATGTCTTTGTGACCTATATCGGTAACCAGAAGACTTTGTCTGCTTGTGTGGTTTCCGATAGTTATACTTAGAAGAACCCTTTTCTTAGTGGTTCCACCCTTGTTATGAGATGCATCTGCATTATAAACCCTGATCTCCTTCTCAAGTGAGATCGTAGCAAGATTCAACTGATCAACCAGCTGTGGGTTGATGTAACAAGAATATGCTCCTGAGTCAAGGAGCGCCTCAGTCTGGACTTCCCTAACTCCCTGTTTGAGGTGAACAGGTAAATCAATCACATGTTTTGACAAACCAGTTGATGCAATATAGAGAAAACTTGATACTGGTACATGCGAGAGTGAGTAGGTACTGTTACAATGTCTATGAGAACTCTGGCCAGACCTCAGGGAACCTGCCAAAAAAAAATTCTTGTCATCTTCTACCTCCGTGATCCTAGCTGCTTCTACAGCTGGTTCCGGTTTTGCCTCCTTGTCCTTTCTCTTCATGTCGTAGCTAGCAATGAAAGCACGAACTGCTTCCTCTCTCACCTTGCTGTAGTCAGAACTGCTGGATGCCACTGATGTGGTTACTGCCCTTGTTGCTTGACCCCACCTTGGCATTTCAAATTTGCCTTTGTACTTGGGGTCCGGGCAGTGCTGTTTAAATACGAAGGGGTGTTTCCCGCATCATACGCACAGCTTCCTTTCTAGCCATCCTTCCTGTTCCTTGGTGAGCGTGGATACTCGATCCACAACCATTGCGTTGGAGTCCTTCAGGGCTCTGGTGCAGATGATGATGTCGTGGTCATTCCGCGTTGTCCTGCTTTGTCAGCTCTGAACTTTGACTTGAGTTGTAGACAGAGGTCGAGATACTCCAGCCATGTGGTTGGGTCAGCAATTCCTAGGCTGTCTCGTGTCACCATTGCTTGGTGCACGTCCTTGTCGCGGTGTTCAGCAATATAACTGATAAGCGCTGTGTGCCCCAAGTTGGTCTTGGTGGCCCATTGACGGAACTTTTCTGTGAAGGATACCATTGTGGGATATGTCTTGCCACAGATATCCTTCAAATGCTGCTGCACATCCTTGTCCAGGTCGAGGTCCTGTAGTTTACTTTGAGAATGTTGATGAAGTCTTCCCAAGTTCTGAGTGATTGCCATGCTGCTGCCTTTGTTGCATATTCTGATATATAGGTGAATGCGCCAACTTCCAAGTGCAGCAATGCCGTGGTGATCTTATGCTCATCGTCATTGATCTCATTCCACCACATCCATATGCTGAGTTGTTGGGCCCAGTCCTCCAGACTTCCTTTGCCTGAGTAGTGTGGAGGTTCAGCGATTTTGATGCAGGGTTTGTATCTTTGGACCATGCCAGATGTTTGACCTTGCACTGCTGGGATGTCGCTTGCTTTCAGTGAAGCTAACTCATGGTGCAACTTTGTGTTGTCACTGCCTAGTTCTATCATCTTCTTGCCCATGTCCAGCATAGCTCCTTGTGTTCCTATGATCTCGTCATTTAAAACTGTCATATGCGCATCTTGCACGAGGATCCTATCTTTGAGCTTACCGATTTCTGTTTGGAGGACCGCCTCCTTTAATAGGTGCTCGCTACAGTTTGACTGGATGATCACATCGAAGGCTCTCTTGTGCTTGTACAGTTTGTTCCTGAGCACATTGTAAACCTTAGTGACTTCCATGTGGATCATGAGCTTCATAGCGACGATGACTCATTCACAGATGTGGTCTGGGACTTCTCCAGGAGCGAATTGCCTGAGTGCATCTTCTAGATGCTCAAATCGCTGTCCATCGAACTCCCAAGTGGGAGGGACATATGCGGGTAAAAGTGATGGTGTCGGGGATTTACGTTCTCCGACTTGTGATGCAGAGTCCTGGGGTCTTAGCCCAGGCTCAGATGAATTGCGTTGTGATGCACATGGGGTACTCCCTCCTTGTGCTGCTTTGATGTTGGGGTGAAGTATGTCCTCCATTCTTTGTCTGAATGTGGACACGTATGCATGATCAGCTCCCTTCATTGTAAGGTAAAAAGGTAACTAGTACAAAAAGTGCAAATATCTCTTCTTCGAGATGAACACCAGAGCTTTGGTGATTTCCTGCAGCCTTTCCTCCTTTCCTATCTGCTTGAAACTGATTCCTCCTATTTCTAGACAGACCGTGTTTATCACCTGCTTCTCAATGAATGTGTATGTGCACGTTCCAGTGTGTAGGTCGGCACAGACCTTGTCGAGTTCTATAGCGAGGCTGTAAATTGGCCCCTGATGCTCATCTTTGAGATGATATGCGAAGGCTCCTAGGATGGGCTGGAGCTGAAAGTGAGTAGCGTCCACTTGTTTTGTGAGCATCTCGATGTGAATCGTCAGCCTGACTCGAGATGGGAGTGGGCAAATGGGGCGAGCAACGATGTTTGTCTTTACAAAGTTCAGTAGTGGTCGAACTGGGATGGGAGCTGTCACGGTTTTTATCTGACAAGTCATTATAGGAACAAATGCTATTAGAAGCATATTATTTTAATCATTTCACGTCGCACAAGAGTCACATGACGTAATGAGAGATAAGATAAAGGCATCTAGTCACATGACCTCAGATCTCTCTCAGCATTGTCACGTGACACTGAGCTCCTCAGCATGGCATCATATGTCGCAATCGTCATGATGCCATATTGCATGCTCAAGAGGAGCTCCGTCTCTGTGGGGTATTATTAGGCAGCCAATCAGGATAATTGGGACATGTCGTACAATTGTAGCACTGACCAGTAGAATAGCATGTGACTCGCTTATGTAGTACTGTACAGTAGCTAGACAATCCTGTATATAAGGACCAGCGAGACGAGGAGGAGACCTCAGTCTTATTCTCCTTCATCCTCCACTACCATCATAGAGGGGCCTTACCAGACACTCTCAGTGTGCTATACATTCTATTTGCATCCTCACAGTTGTGATAGTGCCCCTCACCTCACCAGTAAGTTTTACTCTGCAACTAGCGACTTGGGCCTCGTCAGTGAGCATGTCGACTCACCACAGCTCGTTGCTGTAGGCTTTTACCAGAGGCCCTCAAGGGGACTCTTAGTTTGGTTGTCTATATTTGTCATCGGCGTGCCGTGACATTAGAATAAGACTGACCTTTTACGCCCCTATCAAGTGTCTAACACTGGTAGCTGCACATTTTCGCCCAGAGACACATCCGCCCAGGGCAGAGCTTTTCCCACACCACTTCCCTCATACCATTTCACTTTGCCTCTACCACCTAAGCCACTTTCTTCCTTCAAAAGGAACAGCGCTGCACCAACCGGTAAAGCACCTCAAGTGCACAACGGTATCGTTCTGCCCAATGGATGTTACCATCCTTACCACCCCGATCTCAGACACACGCATCGTCTGACAGTGAGCAACCTACTCTGAGCCAAGCCCAATGACTATTGCTCAGATCAACAGAAGCTGCACACTAAGGTCAGCTTGTGAGCTGAAGCAATTCCAAGAGATGCATCTGACCCATCCATCCCCATTTAAAAACCTCACTGGTGGTTTAACGATGACGCCACTGCCATACTCACCTTCGCACTCTCCAAGAGCTACCACCCTTGCAGGATCCACGAGAATCTCAAAGGCACGCTTCCAGAAAACATCGCACTGACCGTATACACTACTATTCAGCAGTACAAAGTCTTGCAGCAGCCTCACATTGCTGCCAAGTTCACGGAAGCACAGATCCAGTGTCACGATCATATCCTGCAACACTTAGGAGCATTGAACGAGAGGATTGGATGAGGTGATGACTTCACATTCGTCGATAGACACATTACTATCAAGCTTTGCGTGGGACTAGGGAAGATTTTGTTCAGAGGAATCAACAAGGAGCAGGAGCGTGTAGAACAAGACATTGTGAGGTTCGAGAAGGAGTCGTGCTACTGGCCTTACTAGGACCAGTAATATTTTTGTACTACCGCATCAAGAGTTTCATGTCGAGATACACTTTCGGCTTTATATATGAAAACTACATTGTGGACTTTTATCGCCTGACGCAAGGACAACTCACAGTCATCTGCACTGCGTATTTCATCTATCAACCTCTCGTCACCAATTGGCAACAAGTACTCTACCACTACACGGTACAAGTACACGCTTACACAACCTACTTGGCACCATTCCGTCTCATTCCTGACTTCGAGGAAGAGTGAGAATATTGGCACTACTGAGCAGAATCCTTACAAGAGGAACTAACAGAAGAGGGACTCATCGAGGAAGACCTCACGATCCCCTTCTAAAAAAAAAACATCGTCACGAGGCTGAGACCAAGAATCGATTCACACGTTGTCCGTCACTTCATTTCCATTATCCTCGACATCGATCCCAATGTCTCAATATAACCTTGGTGGTGTTGCGTTCCCAGGAGGACACACTGTGAGTGAGCCTACTGACCCCTGGAGGAGTCAGGCCACTTCTACATCATCTGAATCAGGACCAGCTGCCCCTGCAAAGGAACCCCATACTAGCAGCACACTCAAGGCTTCGGGAGTAGTCAGAAACCCGTCGCCCACCACCCTGCCAGAATTCGCTACACCAGCAACCTGGGAATGGCAGGGAATCTCTTACAACACAATCAAGGAAGCTGCTAATGCTGCCGCACCCAACACCATTCCAAATGATGTCAAAGAATGGATAATGAACGTGGTGCGAGCATTCATCATGAGAGATGTTGTGAGCTCCTATGAGGCTCTATGACAAAAGATGGATGAGTGTCATGAGTGCACGGTGTCCTCGTTAGAAGAAGAGATACTGGCTCGGATCCACGTTGAAATAATGGCAGTGGAAACACGAGACCAGCTAAAAGTCACAAGAGCCCAGATCGGCACCCTCTCCGCCGATAACAAAAGGCTCATCAAGTCGAACAATAGTCTGACAGCTGAAGCCCAAGCAATCCACAAGGACTTCGAAGACTACAAGGATGAAGTAAAGGGTCAGATGGACGCCCTTTATGGCAACATGGTCGCCCTGAATGAGGCTCAGGAAAAGACCACTACATACAGTATATCGTTGGCTTAGAGTCTCGACTCAACAATGCCATCATCAATGCACCTTCTCAAGGTATCCAACAACCGGCCGATCAATACCAATGCAGTCAATCGCCCCACCAAATCAAGCTCCCAGATCCTCCCAAATACTCAGAGAGAAAGTCGTCGAAAAACTTCGAGACCTGGTTTATGAACCTGCTCATTTGGCTCAATTACAATCACTTCACAGACAACAAGGACAAGATTCAGCAGGCCAACGTGCATCTGAAAGGAGGAGCAGCTCTATACATGAAAGAGTATGCAATCAAGCTCACCTCTGGACAAGACGTTGGCATCTGGGCTGAATACACCAGGAAACTGGAGATGGCGTACAAGATGCTTGACCCCAAGCGCACAGCACAATCTTTGCTAGATGCACACTGCGCAATCTGCCACAAAACAATGATTGCCTTCACAGAGAATTTCAGGGCTTATGCCCCCGAATCAGGGTACTCTGACGAAGATCTAATTGTCAAGATCAGGGAACAATGGTCGACCCATATCCAAACGGTCATGTCGGTAACAGAGACTCTAGATCCCTCGAAGATTCCAACCACTTGGATGGACTATCTCGAGTTCTGCCTGGAAATCGAAATTAAACATCTCCAGCAAATTTCAGGCAACAAGTCTACTGGACAGACCACGGCAACAAAGGCGGCCGCCCTCAAGGACCCTAATGAAATGGACACAAGCACACGAATCGCACATGAACTTTCTCCGGAACAGGACAGGTGGCTGGCAAACAAACTATGTTTGTTTTGCGGAAAGCATGCCTACGAACGAGGAAAGTGGTGCCCCTCTCCCAAGCCAGAATACAAGGGCAAGCAGTTTCAAACACGATTTGCCCCAAAACCAGGGAAAGGAAAGGGCAAGGTGACAAACGTGCGACAGGTGGAAGAAGAAAGTAGTGTGGGATCATCAGCTCAAATTGTGGCATTGAAGCAAGCAATTGCTGCACTACGTGAGATGAGTACCACTTCAACTACTCCACCGTCCAGCAAGGGCAAGGCAAAGGGCTCAGACGTGGCATCAACGGCATCGGCATCAACAGTCAAGGACACAAACACGAGAATCACCAAGATGGATGAATTCTCAGAGGATTTTCTGTACGAAGTGTAGACGAGTCTGGCACTACACTTCAGGACAATTGTATTAGTACTGTGAGAATGAATGTACCTAGCGACCATCTATATATTGCATCCGCGGGTTTTTCTAAACATTCGATCGAATTGCCGATAAAATTCGTATCACGGGAAGTCCAGACAACGGCACTATTGGATTCTGGAGCGTTCTCCTGCTACATTGGTCAGAGATTCGCTCAAAAACACGGGTTTAAGATGACACTGCTAAACCGCAAAATAAGAATCCTCAATGCAGACACCAGTCCCAACAAGGGTGGTGCAATTACTCATCGTGTAGTCACAAGCATCTTAATCGGGGGGCACCGATCAACTGAGAGTTTGCTCATCACAAACCTCGGACGCATGTCAATGATCCTTGGCATGAAATTTCTACAAGAACATAACTCCCGAGTTGACTGGGAACATAGAGAGGTCACGTTCTCAAGATGCAGACACACAATAAAGCAACGAGTCAGAGTAAGCGAAGAAGAAGTCAACCTTCTATCGCAACCTCGACTTGAGGATGAAGCGATTCTTCCTGACGTACACAAGGATGACAGGTGGGATCAGGAAGACAGTTTCATCAACTGGATAGACTTGCAAGACCAGGATCTTCATAACATGGTGCACGACATCCTAGGCATAAGCAAGAAGGTGAAGGAGCATTTGGTAGAACAGCCGGCAGAAGAGACACAGGACAAAGAATATTGGTCCAAATTCATCTCTCCAGAATTTCATCAATTTGGAGATGTGTTCTCAAAGAAGAGCTCAGAAAGAATGCCGACGCGTAAGCCCTATGATCATGCAATAGATCTTGCCCCAGATGCGGCAACCCTGAGACCGACAAAAGTATACCCTATGTCTTTATGAGAGAAGAATTTGCTCGATGAATGGATTGATGGGGAACTAGCTAAAGGCTACATTCAACCATCCAAATCCCCGTACACCGCTCCGGTATTTTTCGTCAAGAAAAAGGATGGCTCTTTTAGACTAGTCCAAGACTACAGGGCATTAAACAGCGTCACCAAGAAGAACAAATTCCCACTCCCCCGAATCAATGATCTCATTAACAGACTCTCAAGGGCTAGCATATTCACTACACTAGACCTGAGATGGGGGTACAACAATGTGCACCTGTCACGGCACGCCGATGACAAAGATAGACAACCAAAATAGAAACCCCTTGAGGGTCTCCTGGCTAAGAGCCTACAGCGACGAGCTGTGGCGATACGACGTGCCCACTGACGAGGCCCGAGTGCTAGTCGCAGAGTATGACTTACTGGCGAGGCGGAGGGCGCTATCACAAGGTGAGGATGCAAATAGGATGTATAGCACACTGCGAGTGTCTGGTAAGACCCCGCTGTGATGGTAGTGGTGGACGAAGGAGAATAAGACTGAGGTCTCCTCCTCGTCTCGCTGGTCCTTATATACATGATTGTCTAGCTACTGTACAGTACTACATAAGCGAGTCACACGCTATTCTACTGGACGGTGCTACAATCGTACGATGTGTCCCAATTATCCTGATTGGCTGCCTAATAATAACCCGCGGAGACGGAGCTCCTCTTGAGCACGCAATATGACGTCATGGCGATTGCGACATATGACGCTATGCCGAGGAGTTCGGTGTCACGTGACAATGCCGAGAGGGATCCGAGGTCATGTGACTGGATGCCTCGTTATCTTATCTCATTAGGTCACGTGACTTCTTGTGCGACGAGAAATGATGAAAAATGATATGCTTCTTAATAGCATTTGTTCCTTTTAATGACTTGTCAGGTAAAACCGTGACATCACCCCCTTCTCAAGGTTCATCGTCCCGATGAGCCAAAGTCTCTGGCGCCTCATATGGTTCTTTTTGCGAGCGGACTGTCTGCCTCCGAAATGATTCCTGGGGCGTAGCGTTCGCATATGAACTGGGCAATACGATCGCCTGTCTTAACCTCGAATGGTTCGCTGGTTGTGTTTACCAGCAGGACCTTGATCTCCCCTGTGTAGTCCGGGTCTACTACCCCAGCTGCGACATCAATTCCTTTAAGGGCCAACCCACTTCGGGGGGCTACTCGAATGTATGTCCATTTTGGGGGATCAACCGCCAATCCGGTGCCGACGAGCATTCTGGAATGTGGGGGGATGTTTAAATCTTGTACTGATTTGACATCCCATCCTACAGCTTCATGAGATCCCTTGTAGGGGGCTCGGGCATTTGGGTGAAGGCGGAAGAAAAACATGAACTCATCAGGGTGGTCAGACAGGGCGATTTTGTGTGCTTTGCGCGTTCGCGGCTTAGCTCTTGGAGCGTCTGGGTGTGTCGTATGGAATTCCTCTACTTTGTCTTTGACATTCGTGAGGTTTTCCAAGGGTTCCCAAGTATTATCGCTGTGGTCATAGTCCAACCACTTAACGAGATACTGGGTCTTATTGTACCTGACTCTTGAATCCAGGATGTCCTCTACGTCCCATTCCTCCTCTCCGTCGATGATGACTGGAGGGTTGGGGGGAGGGATGCGTCCGGGAATTGAGTCTTGATGGAACATGATTAGCTTTGAAGCATGGAACACAGGGTGTATCTTCATGTCCGCTGGTAATTGCAGTTTGAACGATACGGTCCCGATCTTTTCGAGGATCTTGAATGGTCCATAGTTCTGAGTCGCAAGCTTTTGGCTTTTGACTTTTACATGGAGATCTTTCCCTCGAATAAGCACTTCGTCTCCTACTTTGAAAGGGACGTCTTGCTTTTTAAGATTGAAATACCATTTCATACGTTCTGCTGCTAGTGACAGAGCGGCACGTGCTTGTTCCTGTGCTTGGTCGCGGTTATGGAATAAGTGTTCCAGGGATGGATGTTGTATTCCGTCCAATACATCGGGTGCCATGCGGGGGTGTCGACCATGCTCTATGAAGAACGGTGATAAGCCTGTTGATTCTGAAGCTTGGTTGTTGTATGCGAATTCCGCCGTGGGCAATAACGTGGCCCAATCGGTTTGTCGGTAGTTGCAGTACATGCGCAGGTATTGCTCCAGAATCTGATTGACCCGTTCAGTTTGTCCGTCCGTTTCAGGGTGGTAAGCTGTAGACATTGTCGATTTAATGTGAAGTTTCTGACAAAACTCCTGGAATAGTTTGGCCGAGAACTGAGTGCCTCGATCAGATATGATCTGCCTAGGAATTCCATGGAGTTTGAACACTTCATTGTAGAAAATCGACGCTACTTGAGATGCTGTCACCGTGTCGTCTACGGCATAGTAGTGAGCATGTTTGGTGAATCGGTCGACAACTACCAAAATGGCAGTCTTCTTTTCTCCCCTATGGTCTGGGCTTGGCGGTAACTGTGTAATCAGGTCACAGGTAACCATTTCCCAAGGCCCTTGTGGTACTGGATTAGGTTGTAGTAGCCCATACGGCTTTTGCTTACTCGTCTTGTTTCTTTGACAAGCCACACAGCCTTGGACATATTTTTTGACATCAATGGTAAGCCCTGGCCACCAATAATTCCTGCTGATCAATTCTTGCGTTTTCCATCGTCCGGCGTGTCCGGCGGTGGAAATGTCATGATGTAGCTTGATCAGCTCATTCCGCAGCGTAGAATCCTTTGGAACGTAGACCTTTCCTCTTCTGAGCAGCAATCCATGTTCGAAGTTCCACTCTTGAAGGTCTTTTCCGAACTCTCGCTTGCCAGTTTTTAGTAGGTGCTGGTAACCTTTAGTCATTTCGTCGTCTTTTAGTGCCGATTTCACTCTTTCTAGAAGTTTTGCATCGTCAACTTCAGAGGAATGAGTGGCTGCGATCGTGTGGATGGCAAAATATTCGGGTCGAAGTAAAGTTTGCCCTGAATTATCATTGCTCACCCCCTTCTCATGATCTGGCCTCCTGGACAGAGGATCGGCACGCATCATCGTCTTTCCGGGGCGGTGACAGAGAATGAAGTGAAAACGTGTAAGGTAAAGTGACCATCGAGCTTGTCGTCTGGTCAGTGTTTGAGCTTGGCGGAAATAGGTAAGATTAAGGTGATCCGACCATATCTCAACTGGGTGTGGGTGTCCTTCGAAGTACTGCCGGTACTCTTCTAAAGCCCGAATGATGGCTAGCATCTCCTTGTCGTAGATCTCGTAATTGCGCTCATGTTCATTGAGCGATTTGGAGTAGTATGCGACAGGATGCCAAAGTTCATCGTCTCCCAACTGTTCAAGGACCGCACCTGTGGCGAAGTCCGAGGCATCCGTTTCCAATCTAAAGGGACGGACTGCGTTGGGGAGTGCTAGAATTGGGGCGGAAGTGAATGCAGTCTTGAGGGCCTCAAATGCCTTTTGTTGAGGTTCTTCCCATTTCCATGGTGCGTCCTTACGTGTTAATAGAGTCAAGGGTCAGGTCATCGATCCGAAATCCTTGATGAATCGTCGATAGAAATTTGCCAGACCAAGGAATGCTTGTACTTGCTTTACCTTGGTGGGCACCGGCCATTTGAGCACGCCATCGACCTTTTCTGAGTCCATCTGTATTGACCCTTTTGTGATTATGAGTCCGAGAAACTTGACGAAAGTGGTCGCAAAGTGACACTTTTCTGGTTTCACGAACAGGTCATTGTCTTGGAGTCGTTGTAGAACTTCTTTGGTCAGACGGTCGTGTTCCTCCTGGTTATCCGTAAAGATGATGATGTCATCTATATAGACTGCCACCTTTCCAGTGCGAATGAGATCGCCT